TATAGAACGGCGGGTCCACTATAAAGAAAACATTTTCCTTGTCTTTATATTTTTCATACAACTCTGTCCAATGACATCTCACAAACTCTATACCCTCAATATATTTTTCTATGTCCTCTTTGAAAACATTTGTATAGTTAAGATATAAACTTTTGACATAAGTGTTTCAATGTCATGAACTCTTATAGAACCACTATATATAGTCTAGCAGATATACTATTCCAGTCTATATATTCTGCTTTTTTCAAAACCTCTCTCACATATTTTTCTTATCTAATGGTATACGTTCCATCTTACCTATAGGTATCTTTTCTTTTAACTCTTTCAATATATTGTTTGTGTCTGGAATATGTTTGAGACGGTCCATATAGTTGTCGAAGTCATTGCATATAATCTTTGAGTCTGGGAATATTATATGGCACAAATGGGATATATAGAAACTTCCACCGAACAAATCTACAAATGTTAGACCATTCGGTAGTTTCTTAAGTTCTCTCAATATAATATCTTTACATCTACTCTTATTTCCAAAGAACGGTAACGGTGGTTTTGTAAAATTCATTTATATATAATAATAAAAATGTTTTTACCCGAAAAGTGACAGAAAAGTGACAAAACATGAAAACATATATAATTTGTGAAAAGCGACACCATTAATATGATGTAAATAACAACGGTTTTGGTTTTGTCACCGGCTGGTCGGCTGGGGTTCGGTCCTCCTCTTGGGTCTTGGGCAAAATTCTTAGGGCTAGAAGGGGCGCAGCCCCTGGAAGCCCCACTACCTTTTTTTTTTTTTTTTTTTTTTTTTCCTTATATTTTCAATGTACATATTTACCATTCTTCTATATTGCAAAATAAAAATGGAATAAAAACTATCACATCCTCAGAATAATTGATAGCATCAACGGAAAGGTGACATGATATGAAATTTTACCTGTTGTATTTAAATGGTTAATCATAGTATACTAAAAGCAACAATAATGAAAGTATTCAATAATTAACAATTTCTGAAATCATAAAATGATTTTAACGCTTCTTCAGGAGAGGTTATCGATTTTGTAATTTAATCGTCGTCGTTATCGATTTTGTAATTTAATTGTTATCGTCTTTTTCTAAACGTGCATTTTTACATTAAAAGCAATGCAACTCCAAAATTAATTGGTATTAGACTTTAATTAGGTGCAGACAAACTGCAGTCCAAATATTTTTGGTGATATATGAATTACATAAATTTAGGGAAATTGAAATTATATCTTTTAATTTTTAGGAAACAGATTTATAGAATTGTTTAAGTCATCAAAATAATGCAGACTTAGGTCAATTTTCCAAATTTATCATTTGCAAGACTTTCAAGCGACTTCAAAATGTCGAAATATAAGTCCAAAAATAAAATTACGATTACAGTCTATCCTCAATTATTATCACGCTAATTATTGAGTGACCCATGCGTTCGTATGTATGTAATACCTTTTAAAAAGGAGATGAGAGAGATAAACTACATTTACAATTTAAATCTGATGTATTTACTTGTTACATTTACAAATGTAAATGTTTCTCGTAATGTTTACATTTTGTAAGTATAACAAATAAAAATGACGCACTTTTTTACAAAGTCAAATTATGCGATACAACTTTACTTGTTACATTTACAAATGTAAATGTTTCTCGTAATGTTTACATTTTGTAAGTATAACGAATAAAAATGACGCACTTTTTTACAAAGTCAAATTATTGTTCGATTTTCAGCTTGTAAACGATTAATTGTATAAAGCAATTGATATTAGCACGACATAACTGAATAATTCTAATATTGAAATCAAAAGCCCTTAAAATATCATGATATTTTAATTTCATAACAAATCTAGGAGACTATTTGATGAAAACATATCCGATGTGGGTTTTGTTGTATTATATAACTTGTTATTGACTTCTTAGCTTTCCAAATTTTTTTCGATAATGAGAAAACGAATGAAAAATCAACATTTGGTCCATTTAAAATTTGATTTGTTTACATTTTTTTTACTTTTTGAATTTCAATTTATATTTTCCTCAAGAAATACTTTAGATTTTAAGAAACTAAATCATATAATCTACTAAGAAAATATATTAAATCCTATAATACTCAAAGTTTTGTGATAAATCCGATCTTTTTTATTTTACTTTTATTATGTTTTTGCAAACTTAAGGTCCTCACTAGGTAAAACATAATACTCTTTGAAGTTAAGTATTTTCACAAAGAGAGGACCAACAATATCAAAAGATTGAATAAAGATTTGTATTATTTTATTTATTTTTAAGAACATGTTTAAGAACCCTCATTATCTCCACGAATATTGCATATTTTTCTATTCTAAGACCACCAAAATTACGTTTTAATATAGAAAATAACATATTTATGTGATGCTAAAGTCGAAGTCCTTAAAAAATTAGTGTTAAACATCCATTTATTACAAAATTGAAGAAATATGTGTAAAATATAACACATAATTTAGTTATTTGACTCAATTATTAGTTATGCAATATCAGTTGTGTTTATATCTGCGTTATATCACGAGATGCATTGAATTGTCATAATTAGATCACCGTAAATCTTATCAATTTTTGATACACTTCCGGTGAAAAATTTAGCCTTGACAATAGGATGAAATATATTGTAAAAAAATAAATTTTAGATTTTGAAGTTTATCATTTCGAATAATGAAATATAAACAATACAAATTTTCTGTCGTTTCGAGATTCATAAATGATCGGAATCTTCCAGCTCCGACTGAAATAGAACTTTCGGAAGCTAATTTTCAAGACGAATCTTCTTTATTAAGATTTATTTTGGATATCCCTAAGGATTTAAGCTTTTCCATTGACTCATATTCAATGAATCTTTTGATACATTTCATTATCGAGCAATCTACACAAAATGAAACAATATTAAAATTCACAATTCAAAACATCACTTCTTCGAATATCTTTCAAATAGATTTGATACTACTGGAAAATTTATTCGAATATTTATCGCATTATATTAACCAGATTTTTTTCATTTTTTCATTAAAATTAATTCATTTTAAAGCTTTAGATAACATACAATACCTTTATTTATCAACATTTTCCGATCAATATGATGAGATGTTACGTTTCATAAGCAGCAGTGACAATTCTCTCTATATCATCGATACATTTATTGCTTTGATTAAAAACAATATTCTTGACGTTGAATTCTTCCAAAACGCAGTTTTACTCAAGAAAGAAATTTTTTCTAGTATTATTGAGTACGAAAATCAATATTCAACTTATGCAATTGCAAATTTCTTTACAAAATTATTAAAATATTACCCAGGATATGCAACTGCTCTTCCATGTTCGGATATACTAATATCAAATTATTTCAACTTTTTTAATGACATGAATTCAATTATAAATAACGAAGATTTTGTTTATCTTCACAAATTTATAGTTTTATTTTATAAAGCAGTCGATATAACATCTGAGATGGCTTTAGAATTCATAAAAACACTTGAAATTCTGCGAAGTCTTTCTCCTCACTATTTATTTACAGAGTATGTAGTTCAGGGGTATTATTGTGTACTTCCTCTTTGTTAGTATACATATCATATGTACGGAGGCACTGCGAGTCTCCTTACCCATTATATGTGAATTTGACACTTTACAAAACCGTTAACGTATATTTTACAACACAAACGACAACACTAACTTAACCTTAAATATTTATAAAGCCGCCAACCACTTCACCTCACTAATGAAAAAATAAACGTTCTCACTTACAAAAGTATTGCAACTCCTCCCATTGCTGTGCTTCACATAACAGCTCATAATCTTCTGACTCACTTTCTTCTTCATATAGGTCAAAGTCACTGTCAAAATAAATGTTAGTAAGTTTTGACAAAGCTAATGAAACACGTTTACCGTTTGTATCGTATGCTTGTATAAACTTTCCATTCTTCATTCCTTCATAAACGCTCAAACTAACTTTACCTTTTCTCCCTCGTATCTGATAGAATGTATTTTCACGAGGAACGAAGAACAAATTCTTGAACTCATGACCGTTGTAGTTTGTTATCTCAATAGTTTTCGTCATTTATATAAAAATAAAATAAAAATAAAATAAAAAATAAACTTAAAAATAAATGATATCACCACCCTCACACGTATGAAAACATAGCACAAAAATAAATTTAGGTGAAGTGGTGAGATCTCACCTCTTTTTTACCTGTTTTTTCACCCTGTTGAATTCATTGCTTTATAACTCTCTTCCTTGGTTTCTTTTTAGTTGCTTTCTTCACGTCTGTCTCCAGCTTAACTGTCTTTCTTCTTCGTCCGTAATGATACCAGTTACTTCCACCAGTCAATGGGTCAAATGGTCTTTCGTAAGGGTTTCCATACATTCCATAGGGACCATACGGAAGAACTACTAGTGGAGAAGAAACATTTTCTTTAGTTCCATCGACTCTATTTAAATGCATTGTTTCACCTTTCATCTGGTCATTAAAGTCTTTTGCGTGTTTTGCAAACTCATCGTCCTTTCCTAAAGCATTTTCTGACTCAGTCGCAACCAAATTGGATGCTTTATTTATGAGCCCTATTTTATTTAATCTTAACTTCTTTGCAACCCAGCCTCCAATCTTCCCTTTATTTGCATCTAATGTCTTCGAAACCCTTCCTCCACTCATTTTATTTACTGCGTCATAAGCTCCAAGTGCTTTTGCTCCAAATGCTAATGCTTTTGTTCCCATTGCGCCTAAAGCTGCCCAAGCTACCATTTACCCCATATTAAAATCATCTCTCTTCAATATTATCTCATAAAAGTTCTCGTTACTGGAGAAAGTCAATGAAACATAAACATTCTCACGGGCTTCGCCCTCACCGCTTTGCGGTCTATCTAACTTCTTTCTTATATCATCTATACGCTTCAAAATGTCTGAACAATTGCTAACATCTTCTACAACAGTTATTTCATCATGAATGACCTTCAAGAACAAGCTCATTTAATATGCTATTAAAATCATCTCAATAATGAGTCCATCCTTTCCGTCTTTGGGTAGCACAACATCTTTCATTGAAGAAGGTTCGACAAGTCTTATGTTAAACTTACTGACAAAGTTTGTTATACTATAATGCTTCGGCGGCGAATACATATAGTTTGAAAGACATAATATAGATTCTTCAGCAAATTCACTTATACTGGATTTTATAACAATGTTCTCACGAGACCAAATACCACCAATTGACAATCTTGTAAGCAATCCTGCTGAACCTTCTACTGTAAACGTCGATGGCAACATTCCACGAAGGTCATCTATTGACATCTTTGAGTCACTGTATTTAAATATTTTCTTAAAGCAATCGTCATTATCTAACCATGCAATAGCTTTGAAGTTTTCATTCGAATATACATCTGCTTCATTAAATGTAAATCCTGACTTCTTTGCAGAGACGACTTTAAAATCTATTGAGTTTGTTTCAAAATTATATGCTATGGTAACTTCTGAAGGTAATGGATGTCCTTCCGCAGTCAGTTGTTCTCTCACTACCGTTTGAAGCTTTGTGTTAAAAACTTTCATGTCATCTCCTGTATCTAAGTTCACATACACAGCAACAGGGAAACTATCTTGCTTCTTTGTTTCATCATTATATCTCAAAACATTAAAGTTCTTCAATAGTATTGTTCTTCCTGCTGGAATACTTCGAACCTGTCTGATTTCAATAGCTTTCTCACCTCCTACATACTCTACCCAGTGTCTTGGATATTCATAAGTATACTGACTTTCTTGAATTTTGGTTGGTTTCATCATAACATGTTCATAGTATATATTTATACTCTTGTCAGTTAGACTCGGTGCTATGTTCTGAATATTTCTGACTTGCATTTTTAATGGAGATAAAATGAAGCATTTAATACATGACGTAGATGAAGACATGAATGAAACTACAGACAAACTTAACTCTTCTCTTATTCTTCCTTTCAGTAAGGACTATGAGTTCTGTTCAAATGGTGTTTATTTCTATTGTGGAAAGATGGGTTCAGGTAAGACATTTAACCTCATTCGTCATATACTCATAACAGAACGTTTAGGAAACGACTCTTACTATGACCAAATCATTATATCAGCAACTTCAGACTCTATGGACTCAACAGCGAAAACATTTATGTCAAAAGTTCAAGCCTCTGTCGTTAAAGTTCCAGACAGTGAACTCATTGAATTTCTTCAACGTTACATTCGACGTAAGAGGAAATATTATGCCATCGTAGAGTTCATACAGTCAGGAATGCAAAAGACTTCTGAGGATATGGAAAGAATTATTGACAAACACCACTTACGTCAATACTCAGGAGTTTACAATATGAAACGACTTACAAACTACATTCTGTCAAAACTTTCAAAATACCCCTTCAAAAAATATCCTTCAAACACTCTGCTCGTTTGTGACGACTTCGCCGGAAAAGGTTTAGTGTCAAAACCAGACTCACCATTAGCTAACATCATTACTAAAGTCAGACATTACCACTTAACTGTAGCAATACTTATGCAAACATGGAGGTTTTTAGCTTTAAACATAAAACGTCTCATAACTGACTTCGTTATCTTTCAAGGTTTCTCACGTTATGATATTGAACTCATTTGGAAACAGTCAGGTATAACATTACCTTTTGAAGAAATTTGGGAAGCATATAAGTCTCTCATCTCTCCTCGTTCATACCTTGAGATTCATATCATGACTAATACCATTAAAGTCAAAAATATTCCATGGGAACGACCAACATTGTTTTAAAGTTTAACCTTCAATTGACTGATGGTAAACAAATTCCATGCATCTCTGTCGCCATTTCTGTTAATATTTTTGCTGTCATTCATATCATCCACTTCCCCATCCGTTAGCTTTTGAGGATATGCGTTAGAATAGCTGTTCTTAAATGAAGGCTTTTCACCTTTGAGAGCATAAACTCTATAACTTTCTGCATACTTTATGTTTGAACCTCCTGAGCCATCATTGACATAAATTTTTATAGGCTTCCACCCTTTGTTCATGTTCCTGCTTCTTCCCTTAGCTCTTTTGTTCAGTAGTTCTACATCTTTATACACAGCTCCTGTCTCAGTGAATTCAACAATATTTTCATTCGTTAGCTTTACATTCAAACCCTTGTCGAGTATATTGTTCATTTCATACATATAAAAGGTTTTTATTCTATATGAAATGAGAAGCAAATCCATCTTAGCTGGTGCCGTTAATGTTCCAATTGAACCAACATCAAATGTTGACTCACGAACGACAAACAATATTGTCATAAAGAACTATAGTTCAGAGTGTTTGAAAGAAAAAGAACCAGAACTTAAGTCGGGACCTTCGGTCTTGGAGCATGGCGCCGTGAATTTAAACACAGCTTCAAACGCTAACGCTACATCAGATGTTAGGTTAGAGTATCCACCACTGGACCAAATTCTTTCAAGAGAAGCCAACGACAACCCTTACACAAATGTTCAAACAAATCCTTCAGATAACGTAGACCATTACCTTCTTCAGTTATACCAAACAATTTTACTCAAAGACGATAAGAAGCTTTTGACAAATCTTATAAGCAAGAACCAAATAATTCTAACAAAGGAGGACCTTGAAAATGTTATCTCACGAATAACAGGGAAACAATGTGTCATTGACTATCTCGACCCTGAAATCGAATGCTGTGGTCAAACGCCACCATTCATGAAAATAGGTAACATCTGCATCATTGAAACACCAGGAACTACAGGAGTTGAGTTTAAGTATAAATATTCGAACGAGTATACAAAACTTTCAACAGAATATAAACTTTGCTTGAAATATGTTTTAGTAAATTAAAGCAATTTGTAATATCTATCCAAAACTTCTTCAACAGTATCGAACTCATCTTCATAATGCAAACCTAATCTTATTGACTTGGTGCAGTTTTCACTAACACAATATTTTTCTGTTCTCTTGACTGACATAACTAACTCATTTGTTTCATCAAACAGCAACAACCAAAGTTCATGACCTAATACATAACATTCATACTTTATATTTTTAGCTCTGAGTTCTCTTGTAAGCTGTTGCATTTAATATTTTCTAAAAAGTCAACTTCAACAGTCATTCGCATTGGTGCCTTCAGTTCTACAGGCTCTCCTTGAAAGTCAACAAGTCTGAATTGCATGTCTTTCAAATTATGAGGACTAATGCGAACCCATTTACCTAAATGAGTTGCTATGACAGGAACGTTTGGAATGAACATTGAATTGACTGCATAACAGAAGGATTTATATTCTACTGAACCTTTACTATTAACTCCTGAAATGCCTGTGACATTAGCTATTTTAAACTCAATGTATAAACAATTACCATAACATACGTATGGAACAGATTTCATCTCAATTGTTTTGTCAACACTTTTCAAAGGAAATGTCATATGGTATGCACCCAAAAGAAGTTGTACTCTATGACTCATTCTTGGTATCTTAAACTCCTTCACATAACTGAACTTCAAAACTCCTGCAATAAGTTTAACATTCATTAAGTTTTCTTCGTTATCCTTGTTTATTGTAGTATTTATGAGAGCATTTAACACTCCAGCTAATGTTTCCATCTTATATTCTACATTATTGTGAAATCTTATTTCGTGCTTCTTTCCATCTATTTCAATCTCCATGAAATCTGTTTCATCTGTTATAACGAATGAAGCGATAGTATTGAAGTCAACCATTCTGAATGCAAGCGCCTCATTCTGTAGACCTAAGTTTGTTTGTAGCTTTACTGTCCCGTATTCGTTTGGGTCTGCACTTTGCAAATAGAACAACATTTTATTCTCATTAAAATATGAGTATAGCTGCATATGCGTATGAAGCTGATAGAGCTAAACGTTTATATTTTGGTCAATACTCTCTCACACTTACTGACAAATATATTGTTATCACTGATGGAAATACTGAGAAATACATAACATGGAAGGACTATGAAAAGTTTGACCCTATTTTAACTCCATGTACTATGTCATTCTAGAGATGTGAAAACTTAAATTTTATAATCCCTGGGATGCACTTTCTTCGATTTTTTTAAAATTTTTGGGATAAATTTTGACATCTTTTTTTTTGCTGGCGACCCCACCCGTTCACAAAAAAAATATCGAGCGAAGGGGGGTCGCCAGCAAAAATCGAAAATTTTTTTTGGTGAACGGGGGGTCGCCAGCGAGAACCTTAAAAATAAACTTCAGAAAAAAAATCTAAAAAGAAAAAAACGAAAAGGCCCTGGGGTCGAACTGGGGAACTTAAGGCTTATACTATGACTCTTACCACTGAACTATATTATCTGTGGATCGGTGCTTTATAAATTGTAAATATAAAGATTATCATAACGAATTAAAATATAAAATAATAAATATTACTCTTATATATTATTAGATTTTAAATTACAAAATAATAATAACAAAAAAAATATTCATGACCGGAGGTTTTAATTAATGTTTAATGAAAGAGAACGATTCATTATAAATTATTGAATGTTAAATTGTTGTAAAAACACATTGAAATATTTGTGAAGAAAATGGCTATTTAATATTGAAAAATAAATAATAACAAAATGTTTATTTCATTTAGTTGCCATTAAGATATGACGGCTATTTAACAAGTTTTTCTTGGATCTTAACCGCCTAACGTTCAAAATTAACCTTTGTGCTTTGATATTACGTTCACATGTTGCCTCCGAAGGAGATGAACATAACAAGCGTAATGCTATTTCCGCAAGGATGGATTTTTCTCCAATTCTATGCGAGATCTCTTCCCAAGCATAATTTTGTGCCTCGTCCATCAGATCGTTCTCAAAGATGTCTGATTCCTTATTGATGAACGTATTATATAACGAGAGTACAAGCGTTTTTTGTCTTTCGTTCAATCGGAATTGAACCAAAATGCGCTTGAGGTAATCTTTAGCTGCTGTTAGATCATTTTCGGCAGTCTGATGATTATCCTCGCGTACATCTTGCAATGTAAGCCTAAGTTGATCATCAGATTCGACAATTCTACGAAATGTGCCTTCATCTGTTACATCAATTACAGCGTTTGTGTTACCTTCCTCAAAAATAGAATCCATGTAAATGTCCTGTAAATCTTCTGCCGGATTTTATCAGGAATATGCTCACTTTGAAAGGAACTCAAGGGATCGGCCAAATCTTCTACTTCTTCGTTTTTAACAAACTTTCTATGGAAGTAGAACCTTCCTCTCGGCGTGAGAGAGAATGCCAAACACCATAGCCCACCAAAGTCAGAGTCCAAGGTATAGCTATCCAATGAAGATGCCAAGATGGATCCGAATGCATTATGCAAATTGGATGTCAAAAGATTGAGAGCTGATATGGCTTTACGAAGCCAAATGTAACAATTTGCCAACAATGCCTTATCCGATTCGAATACTAAGATTAGCTTTTTAAGAACAGCTAAACAATCTTTCAATTGTACGATTTTATCGTGATCTACATTTATATATTGCTTGATTTTGTTTTCGTACTTAAGAATAAAGACACATATATTATAGTCATATATCCATCTGGTGGATACATGCTGTGGACATTGTGCACCTATATCGTCAGCATGAATGCGACAAAGTTCTGCAATTCTGTGCACATCCTTTACTAAACTTTGTAACTGGTTGTTCTTGCCAGCAATATATTGATAGCTGTTGTGGATTCTGTGACACAAACAGGGAATAAGCAATATCTTGTAGTATTTTGGATCTCTGTCATGATAGAATGAATCATTCCAAGTATCTTTGAAGCATTTTAACTGTGCTGGTCCTCCGTCAACTACCACACTACCTATCTTGACTTTCCTAATGTCAATTCTGTTAAATCCTGCTGTTATTGCGGATTTATAATCCTGACTTGTCTGGCCATCCTTCATATCTATCGCCTCTACTGGGTATGGCTTCATTTGCTCCAACGGATTTGTTAAGACAAAATCAAGATTGTGGTAATCATGTGTCTTGCCTTCATCGATGGCGACACAAGTGTATGCTTTTTTGGCGAATTCGAGAACTTTAGCAAGGTGTATGCTGTTAGCAATAGCAATCATTCTATTTCGGATCTCATCACGTGTAATAGGCTTATATAATTTGTCAGCAAGTTTTTCCGGATTGATATTAGCTGACTGAAGTTGTTTGTATTTGTTCATCATTTGATATATTGTGAACATAATGAAAATCTTTGCAACATGCGTGAATTCTGGGGATGCAAATGTGTCTAAGGCAAGGTTGAACTTACCGGTAAAAATGGTCATTTCATCGTATACATTCGATAAATCCAACATTGGATCATTTGGCTGTTTACCTTTATTGTAGTAGTCAAGTAATGTTTGCTGCGATAATGCTTCTCCGGCCTGACATGTGTGAACATGAGTCTTAAGCCAGTTTTTATAATGATCCTCCCTTTGTTCTTGCATTGAACACCGGCAAACTACGCCATCAGATCGTGTCACAAGTTCATTGCATTTTACATACCACTTGGGACTACCTTCATGTTTATATCGCATGTAAACATGTTGTTTCGTTTCAAGATCGGGATATGTTGTGAACCCGACTTCTTTCATTAATGAAGTGATTTCTTAAGTTGAATAAAAACAAATTTGATTGAAATTCATACAAAATTTTTTATCATTATTATTTAAGATGCTTTTTTATGTTGAATTGTTAATTTTTTTATTTCCACCTGGGATATTTTGAATTGGGCTAGCCCAATCCCACCTCTCAATTTTCTCTCAACTGGGCAATGGGGATCCCATATAAAATGTATTGTAACAAAATTTTACATGCATAATATAGTACAATTAAACAACATTCTAAAAATATTAAATTCACATCATTTACTTGAAGATTTTATATTTTCAACAAAAATTAATACAATAATTACATTAAATTGAAGAGATTTATAATAATTATTATAAATTAAAATATTATTACTCATTAATTTGTTGAAATATTGCATTTTAGTGGTAAAAATTAAAATTTAAGTTTACATAGAGAAAAAATTTTAAATTCCAAAAAAAATTCAATTGGGATAACGATAGGGACAAAAATTTAGAATCCCCATATGCTTGGGATAAAATCACATGACTAGTCATTCATTGTAAATGGTGAAATCGTCATGAAGAACGACACAACTGTTTATAGGTCTGTATATGAAGCTCTTGAAAGCATTCTTAACTTCAATCCTTCAGGGTTCGATACAAAAACAACTCCTTCGACAATGCCATTCATTGTAAATGGTGAAATTGTGTCAAAAAATAATGAAACAGTGTATAAGTCAGTGTATGAGGCGCTGAACTATATGCTTCATTTCAATCCTTCTGGTTTTGACCCACAAATAACTTCATGTACTATGCCATTCATTGTAAATGGTGAAATCGTCATGAAGAACGACACAACTGTCTCAAAGTCTGTTCGTGATATTTTAGACTACTTGCTTCATTTGGGTCCTACAGGATTTGACCCATATACAACTCAATGTCAAGTACCATTCATAAACGACTCAGCAGAAATAAAACTCAAAACGTCAACAGTAGATGAAGCAATTGCTGACTCATTGACAAAACTTCTTGATATAATAATGAGGTTCAATACATTCAAAACAACATATGAAACCTTTAAGAAAAATTATGACGATTTCTTTAAAATTACATACATCGAGCCTTCTGCTCCTCAAACACCAGACTATGCATGCCTTAAAATAAAGGCTGCACGGACACAAGTTAGAACATTGACTTTTGACGGAGATAATATCGTTAGAGACGTTACACCTGGAGACACATTACTTACGAAAGAATACTTAAAAAGTCATATCAGTGATTTTGTGAAAGTAGAACAAAGTGGAGCAGGTAAGAGTTGGTTAGGGTGGTTGTTTACTTCATTTTCATCAGGTGTAACAACTGCATCTCTTATAACCATGCAAAGTGAGATAGATGCACTCTGGGCTTTTCTTGGTGGCATAGATAGCATAAAGTTTTATGTTGAGTTTGCTAAATTACATGGAAATACAGGAAGTTTCTTTGACGGTCTCAAAAATTTATGGGGTAAAGTAACATATAATACAAAGAAACTAACTAACTGGGCACTCAAACGTAAAAATATGTTCGACGGACTTGCTTACAACCCTCGTCTCGGAATTATTGAACCAATTAATTTACATCCTTTAATGGCAGCAAGAGATTTAGATGAAGGAGGACAAGTGGTTCAAACAATTGTTGAAAATCTACTGAATATATATCCTGAGTTTAAAGAAGTTTTAACAGCAACAAACACAACAATTCGTGAAAACAGTATAGCGTTTAACACTGAAGATAATATTTTAGACTATATGTTCGTTGTTTTAGGTCAGTTAGCTAAGACAATAAAAGAGAAAGGTATTGACTCAGTCATAACAGTTGAAGATGTAATGTTAAGAAAGACTTTTGACTCATTGTTTCAAGAACCAAAAGAAGTAGTTAGTCTTTATGAAGTTTTGAACGCAATGCTGACAAAAATAAATGAAAGTGACACTGGTAACATAAGTGAAGCAAAAGTTGTTGAACTTCTTTCACAAAAAGCAGATAAAAACCACGTTCATTATATAACTTCAGACGAACAGATTATAACGGACTACCATGGATATTTAACACGAAGTGATGAAGCGAAGACAAAAAATGTTAATGAAAGAAGATATAAATACATTCGTGTTAAAGGTTATGACATAAGCTGTACTGTACAGTATGATGTAGCTAAAGCACCAGAAGCATTTGGTTATACCGGTGAAATTTATGCCTCTACTTTCAATGTTAACGGTGTATTAGTTGAACCAAGATTTACATTGAGAGTTAAGGCAAAAATAACTTTTGAAGATGCTATTAAAAGTAAAGCTGACAAAGTTGAACTCGAAGCAATGAACAAAGTTTTGAAATCTCATAAACACAACATCTCCGATATAAATGAACTTCTTCTGAAAGCAGATGTTGACAACAAAGCTGACAAAGAATATGTAGACGATGCAATAGTAAAAGAAGAAGAAAGAGCTAACAATGCTTATGCAACAAAAGAACATACTCATCCTGAACTAGCAGACAAAACATATGTTGACAATAAAATGTCAAGTGAAGTGACAAGAGCTGAAAATGAATATTCTAAAAAGACTCATATACATTATATTAACCAAATACCAAGTCTTAAGGAAACATTAGAGACAAAAGCAGATAAGACTCATACACATACCATTGCAAATATTACAAACTTACAAGAAACCTTAAACAGGAAAGTGACGTTGGACATACACATACCATTGCAAATATTACAACTTACAAGAAACCTTAAACAGGAAAAGTGACGTTGGACATACACATACCATTGCAAATATTACAAACTTACAAGAAACCTTAAACAGGAAAAGTGACGTTGGACATACACATTCTATATCTGAAATAACAGACTTAAACGTTAGCCTTGAAAAGAAAGCAGATAAAACATATGTCAATGAAATATACCAAAGTTTGATAGGAACAACAAAAAATATTGAAACTATTGTTGGTGACTTTTCTGTCAATGAAGAAAACTCAGAATAACAGTTTCAATACTTTTCTCCTTAATTCATAAGCTTCTGTATATTATTATTGCTCAATGATGCTATTACGAGTAACCCTAACTCGAACAAACAATTTCTCGTAATTTCAATTTTATGATTTAATATTTGAAGCTACATCTATTAGTATCTTGACTAGATTACTCTTCTCCTCAATCATAATGCAATATGAGTAATTATTTTTCTTTTTGTAACTGTTATCCGACAAATTTTAATGATTACTAATTTAATTAGTAATTAGATTATATCTTGTTTGTAGTGATTGAGTAAATGATCTCATTTCTTTTAAATCTTTGATTATCGGCTTGAAATTATTTTTCATTAATTTGTTTTACCTCTAATATGTTACAGATCATGTGAATGATTTGCTTATTGATAATATAATATGTTTCAGATAGATAATTGGTTACATTAGTTGTAAATCATTAAAATAAAACGGACTTTATAAATTTTCTCTATTATGAGTTAAATATTTATTAATTGCATTATACAATCTAATTTTAAAAGAAAGATTAAATTATGTAAAAATAAGAGTAGATCGAAAAACATCTAAATGAAAGAAGCGTATTTTTATGATAATATTAATTAGGAACCTGTTATGTTTGTGTTTTTAGTGTATAAAATGTATCAATTATAGGAAATAATACGCTCAAATTTAATTTATTAAATTTAATATACGCACATCCATAAGTTATGCTATTTTTTCTATTTATTTTGTTCTAAAATTCTAAATATTTTTTTTTCATAACATAAAATATGATGTCTAGTCTCATTTACATAACAATATGCCTTAGAATAGGTTTTTTATTCTTTTTGTCACTTTAAATTAAGAATAAAAAGATAATTTAAATTGAATATTTGCGATTATTCTCACTAATGCTGCTTCCTCTTTTATTAGGTAGACAACAAAAAGTTAGCCTTGGACTCCCATATCAGATTTTTGATTGGTTGCGTATATAATGAGCTGGGATTGATAGACGAAAACCCAGTGAGAAAATTTTTGACGCCCAAAAAACTTAATACATCAATTTTAAAATTATGAGAAAGTATCTAAAAGGTCATAAATACATTTTTTCATGATGCAGGACTACATGGCTCCATTAACATCTTTATGGAGGAATCTAATTCTAACAATTGTCAAAAAAATAAAAATTTCTCTTCAATATCATTTTGAAGATGATTTTTGGTATAAAAAAAATCTTTTGATAGAAACAAATTTAATAACATACAAGGTGTGGGACGTATTAAAATCTCACTTTTTCTTCTTTGAAGCAATAACACTCAAAAATCGATTTCCATATTTTTTCAATTTTGGATCTAAGTCAGGTTGTTTGAAAAACTTTGGCAATTTCTTTTGTTTGAACATAGAAGCGCACTTAGAATGCTTTGCAAGGTCTACTGATACTGATGCAGCTGCCGAAGATAAAGTATTTGGTTCTTTTATCAATCTGACGACAGTATCTACCATTTCGGACATCTCTCTAACGTAACAAACCCTTGACAAAGCATCAAGTACTCTTAAAGCTGACATTAAAGTATCAGCATCTTCGTTTTCAAGAACGGAAGAAAAATAGCTTCCAAGGAATCCACTTTCGCTAAGTGATTGTACGAAGTCGGGAGTTAAAGGAAGTCTTCTTAAAATTATGCAAATAACTTCTGTCATTCCAACACTATTAGAAAGGAGTAAACCGTTAAGTAAATCAACGGTTTTTGGCGTTTCTACAACAATCTGTCTTAAGTCTGTATGCAATAATATAATACATAACAATAACATTGTATTAATTGCAGTTGGAAGACCTCTTGTCATCCAATCTGGGTTCTGTAATAAATGCATCGCATTTCCTGTGTCTTGCGCTAATCCCATTAATATTAATGCAGCTCGATCGTCTTCTGCAGCAGCAATTACTAATGATTTCAATGTTTCCTCCATTTTACGAGTTTCTGATGTTGGAGGAAATCGTAGTATCAATGAGAGGGCGGCAGCTTTAACAGGTCGTCTTCGAATATCTCTGGAAACTGCAGAGACAGGATAACCACATTCTGCGACTAAATCCCGATCTACATCGGCAATAGCGCATAATGCGTAGTAACATGTATTCAAAATCGCAACATTCGTTAAAGTTAACATATCACAAACGTATGTCCAGCAATGCTGGCTTCTTTGCTTCTTAAATGAAGGATAACGTGTCATTAGCCATACAAGAAGTGTCAGATAATCATCTGCACACTCCACTGCGCGAAAATAATCTGCTTTTCTAAATAGGATGTCAACCATTGGAAGAGGATCATGAACTTCATCAAATTTTTGTGCAAATATGGCAATTAATGTAAGAACTTTACGTGGCTCTGTTTCTGCTAAAGGTTGAATTTGTGTTGCAATTCTTTCATTGAAAATATCGGGAACTTCTGAAACAAGTATATAAAGTAGATCGAGTAGTTGCTGCTTGTATTCTTTTTGAGCAAAAGGAAGATATTCTATCATCCTTTCACGAGCAAAAATCTCTATGTTTTCTTTATCATAAAAAGATTTGCAAATCGCGAGTAATATAGCATTTCCTGTTCGTGAGTGTATCCGTTTTTGAAAATGATTTAGTAGATTAAAATAATAAGTTGGTAATTCCGATTTTAAGACTTTATATGGCGAAGATTTCAATTCTGTCATAAATTGTGGGTCCCGAGGAGTACTTAATATCTGTAAATTTACATGGGTCTCCTCGCGAAATGACATCTTTATCTTAAAAAAATCTTTAGTTCGGTAAAATACTGAAAGTCGTGTAAACTATTCAATTAAACGCTCGAATTAACGGCGATGCGATATGAATTTTAATACTTAATAAGGCCTGAGCTTTTGTAGTGGCATAATGCGACCACTTGAGCAGCTATTACTCTTCTCACCTCATATAGACTCTTTTTAACTCAGTAAATATATCTTTAAACATTTAAAGAGACTATAAAGATTAGATGTATATATACTAACCTGTTTACTGCCTTGAGCCGAATCTTTCTGCGCTCTAATTAATTTCAATAATGGATAAATTTAAAATATATTTTCAAATATGAAAAGTCTATAATGCTATATCGAATATGCAGTCCATATTATTGAATTAGCTTCATTTGGGATAAGAGATTTTTTCCACCAACAGCCCTGATAATCAAATTAAAAAGAAAAGGAATTTTGAAGCAAGAGATATCTCTTCTTTGCACTGTTTTTGAATGCACGAAGTTATTGTCCATAAAGCTTTAAATCAGCAATATTGAATGAATTTTGTTTAAGTTCATAAAAGTAATTTGTAAGAATAGTATAGTCGAAAATAATATTTTCTTTGATAATATATCTAAATGTGATGACTTTAAATTTTTTAATGTCCGACCAAGACATTCATCCAAATAAATTCAGTGAATTTCGAAGTATTTGTAAATATTACATCGATTTATATAATGCGTTGTATCGGTTAAAAACGGAAAAAGAAGAAGATTTAAACTCGATTTATAAAATGATCAAAACAGAATTGATTGAATCAAAGAAATCCCCTCCTAAAAAGATTATTGAAGATATTTTTGATATCATTCCGTATAATAACCGCTATACAAAGTCATACTTTGAACTTGTCAAACATATATATGATGATTATAATGTTACAGGGAACAAAAGGTATATTAATGTTTCAGAATTCCTATTTTATAAAGAATACGGAATCAAATTAAATAAATTTCATGATTTCGAAAAAATTAACTCCGAAAATCTCTATATTCATACAGAAAATACGATTTACAGAGCAATTATGTATAATGACTTAGAAAATTTCATTGCATTTACAGAAAGAGAAGAATTCGATAAAAATCAAAGACTTAATAGTAAATTATATCCAGATTATTATAGAGGATATTCATTACTTGAATTATGTTGTTACCACGGGGCAGTTGATTGTTTCAAGTTCTTAAGAACTAAATTTAACTCAGAAATAACTAACATATGTTTAGAATTTGCATTTTTAGGAGGAAATCCAGAGATCATGAGCGAATGTTTGAAATATCAAAAACCAAATGGGTATTGCATGATATATGCAATTATTTCACACAACATTGATTTTGTTACATTCTTGATAAATGAATACAATAAAAAGATCAAATTAGAAGATTGCACAAAATATAATAATCTTGAATCATTTTTTGTTTATTTCGATCAAACCAATGATGTTAACAATTGCTTTATTAATTCATTGAAGTTCAATATTCCATCGCTTTGCGGATATTTCCTTTCACATGGTGCAAATATCAATGAAAAAATTATCTATGGAAAAACCGCTCTTCATCTTGCAGCAGGAAATAATTCTAAGGAAGCAGCCGAATTTCTTAAATCACATGGTGCAAATATTAGTGAAAGAGATAATCTGGGACAAACTGCTCTTCATATTGCAGCAGTTTTTAATAGCAAAGAAACGGCCGAACTTCTTATTTCACATGGTGCAAATATTAATGAAAAAGATAACGAAGGGAAAACCGCTCTTCATGAAGCAGCAGGAAATAATTCTAAGGAAGCAGCCGAACTTCTTATTTCACATGGTGCAAATATCAACGAAAAAAATGACAAAGGATTTACCGCTCTCCAAAATGCAGCAGCATGGAATTGTAAAGAAACAGCCGAACTTCTTATTTCACATGGTGCAAATATCAATGAAAAAGATAAATATGGAAGAACCGCTCTTCATTGGGCAGCATGTTATAATCGTAAAGAAATAGTCGCACTTCTTATTTCAAATGGTGCAAATATCAATGAAAAAGATAACCATGGAGAAACTGCTCGTCTTGTTGCAGCAGGAAAAGGTCATAAAGAAACAGTGGCACTTCTTATTTCACATGGTTCAAATATCAATGAAAAAGATAAATATGGAAGAACTGCAGAAGTATTTAGTGATAATGCAGAGTTACTACATGAAAGCCAGTAAATTTTTGAATACAAACATCTTTTATATAAAAGCTACTGAGAGTAGAATCTATCTTGCCTTGTTATACCGGATATATTTGAAGCCCGGAATCCAAATATTGGGAGTGATGTCTTTATTTTAATCTTACTGATTTTTTTGAGTATATTTTCATTCGCATGGAGAATATATTAAATTCAAAGATTAATCAAATTACACTGTTCTTCACATATGCTCAATAACTACTTTAAATGGTGCAAATACTAACTCAACAGATTATGCTATCTGAACTTTTCTTCGTATTGCAGTACCCCATTAGAGTAAAGAAAGTGCAGAATTAATGTAAATGATAAGAACCAACATACAGTTCGTTTGTTAGCAATGTCGAGAAATATGATTTTGTATGCAAATTTGTATTGAGTAAAAAATAATTCATTAATTGTCAATGAGAAAATAAACATCTTTGTAACGATGTATGTATATGAAAGATTTACTTTTTTATGTGTAAAGTTCATATTTATTCAATTAAAATATTATATCTTTTATTGTAGGAATGAAATGAAATCGATTACAATTAAATTAAAGCATAGAAATCTCTTTTACATTATCATTCTTTGTTTTATTTCATTCCTAACCAGATTTAGTCGAATTCCTCATCCACAAGCTCCGAATCAAAATGAACTTTTCGAATTATATTCAAGTCTTAATTTTTCAAGATCAAATCTTACAGAATCAAGCAACTCATATGTTGGACTGTTGCTTAGAAGAGAATATCTGAAAGTTTCATTTGTAAATTTAACAATGTATCTAGAAAACACAACAAAAGTTTATCAATATCGAATTACAACATTAAGGCAGTACTCAGCTTTCTTCTCAATATTTATTCCTGTTCTTACATACATTTTATTATTATATTACCGAGTTAATGATTACATCGCCTTGATTACTTCTTTATTGCTCATATTTAATCAATCTATTGTTGAAGGAACCAGATATTTTTCATCAAACGGAATTTTTCTTTTTCTTTTATTATTAACGCTGATTATGATTCATTTCCTATCAGAACATCATTTGTATTCACCAGAACATACATTAGTATTTGCATTTTCAGTTTTACCCATTGGAATTTCTTTGTCAATATATTCATTCGATTTCAGACTATTATTGTTTTATATACTGGTTGCAATTCAAAGCTGTATTCAAAGATACAGGAAAAATACAAAACTAATTGCTTTTTATTTAATTTTTGCTATTTTTCCTTTAATTTCACGACATTTACTCGAAATTTATTCCAATTGGACATCCAACGAGTTTAAATCAAAGATGATTATTAAAGATGAAACAATTTACTCGGAAACAAATGATATTCCTTCCATATTCTATAGATATGCGCTTATTCTTAGTTTTATATGTATGTTTGTATCAAATGGAATAGTAATAATTTCTAGAAGCACTATTTTCTCATTATTTTCAATTTTATTCACAAATATTTATCAATACTTCGGCTATTCATCAATTAATCATAATAATCTCTTAGCATTAGTTCTTAGTTTGATTTCAATAGCTATTAACATGAATAGCTTATATCTAGGGAATGAAAAAAAGATTTCATTTTTATATTCTATATTTGCTATGTTAGATATCATGCTATTCATTAGTAATGGAATAGAAGTATACAAGTACCGCGTATTTTAGCTTTCTGAGGCGAAATTATCGTAAATTATTATGTAGATGCAAATAAACGAGAATTAAAAGACTACATAAACAGATATTCGAATTCTCATAGTTTCCCTTCTAATTTTATCAAAAAATTATAAATTTGAATGGCTGATTTCATATTCTGTGCCAAAACAATAGATTAAAGTTGGAACTATAGATATATGTTAAAAAGTCAGATTAACTGCGATTATGGAACTGAAAAAGATACCAATTACCTTAAAAAGATATTCTTAAAGTCAATTTATATTAGATTAAGAATTTTTACTAATTTATTATTCGGCTCACTTTCAAGCCTACCGTGAAGAGTTTTTTTAGCCTGAAACATCATATGCATAGACAGTTTAATTATACTAGAGAAATGTGAAACTATATTTTTTAGAAATGAGTTTCAAAATATGAAAAAAAGTATGTCTAATATTTCATTTTAGGCTCTTTTCGTATAAATACTAAAGTTAATACTATTGTAGAGCATATGTTATGAAGAGAAGCTTCAGTCGGTTCTGGTTGAGTTTCTCCATTAAAAATTGAATTAAATATTCGAGAAATATTTGAGAATGAATTCAAAGTTATAGTTAATTAAATATAAAACTAATTCATGAGTTAGTAATTTTTTATCTTTTTTGGCTCTCCAAAAAAATTTGAAAGACAAATGTAAAAGTACATAAGTATTTATTATAGATTGTTCAATTTTATTTGCTACTCAAATACTTTCAGACAATTGTCACTTTTTGATATTTTGAATTTTGGTTTATTTGATTTTGAATAAAATCATATAAATAATATGATTTTAAAATTTCATGGGAAAATTTTCATTTTGACGAAATTAACGTCTGAAAATAAATTACTCCTTTTATAGTGTATAACAATAATATATTATTTTTGAAATTTTGAATTCGGCCAACCAAGTTTCATTTTTTAGGAAAATTACATTGGTTGCTATATTTCACTATATATTACTTTTAACATTGAAATGGCCACTTTTTCATAACACACTTTAATTTGCAAATGCTAACAAATCGAGTAGTCTTTTGCGGAAATTCCGATGTTGGTAAAACTTCTATTATTAAAAAGATATACTCAACCGAAATCCCGCAGTTTCATATTCCAACAGACATTTGCACAAGATCGGTATGCGAAATGATGTTACCAGACGGATCACAAACTGCGTTAAATATATGGGATCTAAGTGGTGATAGAAGATACGAACGCGAACTTAAATTCTATTTCAAAAATGTCGATGTCGTTGTTTTTGTTTTTGATTGCACGAGCCAAAATTCTTACGATGAATTGTACACTTGGATTAGTATGGCTAATCGAAATGATGCAATGACTAAGGCTACTTATGTTGTTCTTGCAAATAAAATTGAAGATGAACAAAAGAGGAAAGTGTTGTCATCACAAGCGCAGTCATACGCATCCATGCAACGTGCAGAATATATTGAAGTATCAGCTCTTAGTGGAAAAGGCTTAGATGAATTTTATATCAGACTTGGAGAGCTTTGTAAACAAAAACAACAGCAAAGGTTAGACGATATTAAGAACCAACCATTACATCAGTCATTGACAGAATTAGACGAACCAAAACCTTCAAAATGCTGCTAATTTCATTTTTATTTCGTACGGATATATATTTCACCATTGATTATGATAATACTTGTTTTAATAAAGTGAATCTCTATTAGATTTATGCATACTATTCTTTTTTTGCCAAATAACGAATATATTTCTATTTCAAAAATTCATTTGATTTTCTTCGGATTTTCGGAGTTATTCGAGGGATTACACTATAGTTACTTGGTGCAATTATACCAAATGTTACAATAAATATATAAAATGAATCGAAACATTCATAAACTCACTTTTTTTGAAGGACTTTTATAAGGGTTAAAGGTGATAGAAAGTAGACTTTTGAATGATAATGCTGCTTTTAGAAGATATTTTAGATTTAAATTTTAAATGAACATCAAATAGATAACATACCGTTTGACGCCACTACGCCGTTATAGATGGAAGAGGTAGTTTTCATGAAAAGACAGTAGGATTAGATGATAGCACAAATTGCAATTAAATTGTGTTTATTTATGAACTTCTTTCATGAGATATGTAGGTTTCAGATGGAGATTAAGAGGTTGTGAATATTCATGTCGAATCTTACTGTCAAGAAAATAAAAAAAAATTCAAAAATTTCGGAGAAAATTCTTATAAAAAAAGAAAATTATTTAATTTGAATGTTTTCTTTCTTTGTCGTTTCTTCCATTCAAGCAGTCATAGGTGTCGATGTTGGTAGTGAAGCTCTTCGTGCTTCAATGATCAATATTGGCCAGCAAATTGAGACTTTGGGCGGACATGAAAGCGTTGATTCATTTCCTTACGTATTGACCGTTGTTCCGAAGAAGTACCCTGTCCCTGATGTTCTGCGCGATGAGAACATAGATGATTTTGATTTCATTTACAATGATAAAAAGAAAATGGCAAAATTTCCGAATTCAACAATACGTTTCGCATCTTCATTACTAGGGAAATTACGATCGAAAGAGTTCATAGATCTGCTTGAAAGAAGAAGATTATGGGGTAAACCATCAAATATTTCAAATAATCGACTATTTGTAGCCGGATTGCCACCAGAAACAGTATTTACACGCGCATTTCACTTTCTTAACTCAACAATAAACTCTCATCTACCGCATGTGAAATTAGACGCTTTTTCTGTTGCAGTTCCAAAATTTTTTACCCAAGGACCAAGAGATTCTCTACATACGGCAGCGAAAAGAGTAGGTTTGAAGCCTTTCATTGTTGATTCTACTAGAGCTATAGGTACTTGGTATGGTCAAACTTTTTATAATCAAATAAAAAGCACTCAGAACATAGTTTTCTTCAGTATTGGAGCATTAAATACGGAAATATACACAATAAAGTTTAGTCGCGCTCAAAATAAGACATTATTGATCGAAGAAATCGAATATGAATTTGCTGATACAATTGGAGGTCGAGATTTCGATGTTCTTATAGCCGATTACATTGCAAATCAATTTAAACATCCAATTACGCCAAAAGCAGAGCAAACTCTGCTGTTTGAAGCCGAAAAAATTAAAAAATTACTTACAGTCAACAAATATACGAATGGATATATAGAATTACTTGATGACAAGCATGATCTGTCATATTTTATCAATATTTCGGAGTTTAAATCGATTTCGGAACCAATATTAAATTCAATCGAAAATTTAGCTAAGAAAATCAAAACAAAACCAGATAAACTGTTTCTTCTAGGTGGTTCCTGTAGAATGCCGATGATACAAGACCTCGTTAAGCAGGTTTTTAAGTTAGATTCGATATCAACTTCACTTCTAAAGGATGAAATGATGTCGCAAGCCACTACTATCTTTTCTGCAACCATGAATAGCCAGTTCCTCATGAAACCAATCGAATATACCCCAATTCAGCTCTATTCTCCGAGTATTTTCGGTTTCAAGGGAGTTTTGCCGATAAATACGACCACTTTTACTCCGAAATCGAATTATTACGTACAAATAAGTGCCTCTCAAATGCCAATTGGTTCTTCAATGTTTTATGTGTTTGGAACAGCCGGACAAAGCACTTCCTTGGGCCAAACGAAGGATGGATTGTTCAGATTTCATGGGTTATGTGGGAAAACTATCAGAAATTGGAAGAATTCCCTTTTGGAAGTTTATCCAAAAATTATGAAACAAGAATTTGACAAATTGGAGCTGTTTGAAGCTACAAATCGTATGTATGACTTAATACTAATGGAAAACAAGTCTGTTTACGGAGAAAACTCTCAATTTTCTTGCGAATATGAAAAAATAAAATTATTAAAAGCAGTAAATCAGACAAACCGATGGTTTTTGAGTCAGAAGAAGTATAAACTAGATACACTGACCGAGAAAATCAAGTTCCTTGAAGATTCTGCTTCAGAAATCTTTCATAGAATCCAAAATCATCGATTTCTTGAAGCTAGTATCAAAAACTTGACCGAAGCATTGTTATTTGCTGAAACTGAGATAAGAAGAGCACCTTACAGAGATCTCAGCCCTCAAAGAAAAAAATATCGTTTAATGATTCAAGAAATCCAAGAAACAAAGCTGTGGCTTGAAGAAAAAAAGATATTACAAAGTAAAATACTGCCACACGAAAACCCAGTCCTTGTTTGGACTGCTGTTTCTGAGAAAACTGAAAAAATTCTTCGAATGATTCATTATATTGTTAAACATCGCGGCCCATACGTTCCTAATCCACTTAAGAATATCAAAAAACAAGGAAATGGCGTCGAAGTTGATATTCACAACAAATAATTTTTTTATGTTTGTATTATATTTATAAAGATTATAGTTTTTATGACAGAATCATTGGTTTTTGATTAAAAAATGTAAAATTTGTATTTTTAAAATGGAATTCCAGCAAATACAAAAAAAATCATATCAAAAAGTGGATTATGTATGGTGATTTGAAGTAATTTCTCTCACATTTAGTTCAACTTTCTTGAAACTCGGCTGAGAACTGAGTCCAATACTCAAATGCAAACTTTATAATTATATCAACAAATTCATATTCGATTTCTTCGATCAATAATAAACACTTATAAGCGAATTATATCCAATTTCTTACGAAGGATATTCAATACTTGAATTATGCTGTTACCGTAGAGCAGTTGATTGTTTCAAGTTATTAAGAACAAAATTTAGCTCAGAAATAACCGAAACATGTCTAAAATTTTCATTTTTAGGAGGAAATCCAGAGATCATGAGCGAATGTTTGAAATATCAAGAACCAAATGAAAAATGCATGGAATATGCAATTATTTCACACAACATTGATTTTGTTACATTCTTGATGAATGAATATAATGAAGAGATCGCTTTAGAATGTTGTGGAGATAATAATAATCTTGAAGCATTTTTGGTTTATTTCGATCAAACTAATTATGTTAAAATACTCTTTCCTTTCTCATAGTGCAAATATCAATGAAAAAAAAAATAATGATAAAGAGACCGCTCTTCATCGTGCAGCATATAGTGACGGAAATGAAGAAATACTTGAGCTTCTGCTCTCACATCGTGCAAATTTCAATGAAAAAAATATATCCGGAAGAACAACTCTTCATTTAGCAGCACTATCGAATTGTAAAGAAATAGCCGAAGTTCTTCTTTCGTATTGTGCAAATATTAATGAAAAGGATAATTATGGACAAACTGCTCTTCATGTAGCAGCCTATTATGGTTCTAAGGAAATAACGGAAGTTCTTGTTTCACGTGGTGCAAATATCAATGAAAAAAATAAAGACGGAAAAACCGCTCATTTAGTTGCAATAGAGAGGAATTATGGAAAGATAGTCACTCTACTTACATATGCAGCTTAGCATCAACTAAAAAGATAAAGATTCTTTAGGCATATAGAAAGAGGAAGACTGAATCAATCAGTAATAAAAATAAAATAAAAGTAAAGTTTACTTTAGAATTAAATTTTTTTATTGACAGAGCTGGATGACCACCAGAGGAGGAAGAAGAGTACTCATACAGTTACTCATCGACATACAGTGAAGGGGAAGGTGTTGATAAAGAATTACCTTCTTTATTGTGTTCTGTGTTCTTTTTTGCGGGACTAGCGAGACATTTAAAATATAATCCAATGTGAAACGATGAGGATATAGAGAATATTTGATGGATCGCTGTAACGTTAAGTAAACTTAATACCACTATTTTGTTAATAATAATAATAATAATAAAAAAAAGATATACAGCTCTTCATATCGCATCATTAAGGAATTACAAGGAAATTGTCGAATTTCTTCTTTCACACGGTGCACATATCAATGAAAAGGATATAAATGGAGAAACTGCTCTCTATTCATCAACTTTTCGAAATTACAAAGAAATAATCGAACTTCTTCTTTCACATGGTGCAGATGCCAATGTAAAAAATTATGATGGTGAAACAGCTCTTCCTTCTGCGGCATATATTGACGAAAATAAAGAAATACTTGAGCTTCTGCTCTCACATCGTGCAAATTTCAATGAAAAAAAAAGAAAGAAAAAAAAATATATCCGGAAGAACAACTCTTCATTTAGCAGCACTATCGAATTGTAAAGAGATAGCTGAAGTTCTTCTTTCGCATTGTGCAAATATTAATGAAAAGGATAATTATGGACAAACTGCTCTTCATGAAGCAGCATATTCTAGTTATAAGGAAACAGCATAAGTTCTTGTTTCACATGGTTCAAATATCAATGAAAAAGATAAAGACGGAAAAACCGCTCGTTTAGTCGCAATAGAGAGGGAATACGGAAAGATAGTTACTTATCTTACATAGGGTGATTAGTATCAATTAAAAAGATAAAGATTCTTTAGGCATATAGAAAGAGGAAGAAAAATGATCCTTATGAATTCAAAGACTGAATCAAACGTTAATGTTTACTTTAGAATTAAATCATTTTTATAAGCAGATCTGGATGACCACGAGAGAGATACTATGCATTGGTATCTACCTCTCTAGACTAATGACCAATAAATAGACTATTGAAAATTAAATTTGAAATCTTTTTGACTTGGTTGGAAAGCAATGGAGTAATAGAACTTAGAGATGATAATATCAAGATTTCACTTAATCATTCCCATAAATTCAATTTTGACCAATTGAATTCAGAGGAAAGTTTAAACTATCGAAATGGATACTGGTAGTGAAATTCAGTATGTTTCATTGCGTATAAATAGGGATATGGTTAAATTAACATTTGGACAATAAATTAGGAATAGAATTTGACAGATATATAACGTAGACAAGTTTTTCGTTAGTCATGTGATATAGTTTTGTTTATATAGTCTTATAACTCAGTGTTTATTATATTACTCCATTACTCTTGCAAGATGTGCACCGATGAAGACACAAATTCCGTCGTTTTCTGTAAATCAAGCATACTAAGGTCAAAGGATTTTAGTATTTTTGTTTTTCTTGGAGATTTAACATTAAACTATAGTTACTCACTATAAACTGTGGAAAATTTATTATTCAATAATATTTCCGTGTAAACTTCATAATATTATCAAAAAATTGACTTTATTGCGGAAAGAATTTTAAAAATAATTTAATTTCATAAATATATATATAAAAATGCATAGTAAATATTTTAAAAATAATAAACATATTACATAGTCAAGTATAAATAAATAAAATTAAACAGAGTCGGGAGTTTCTTGTCCATTGATTAAAGAGAATCCTTGTAATTGGTGCTGAACATTATCATCGACAAGTGTTGGATCTTCGTAAGTTAATTTTGGCGCTTCGCGAGTGAATTCTTTGTCAAAATGAGAGACATCGATTTTACTTGAAATCTTTGGCTTCCATTTCATTGGTATTTGCTTCTTGTATAATGCTTCTTCACTTAAACCTGCAAGGGATGGATGAGCAAGGACATCTTTGTAATCTGCGGGTCCGGAACCGAGTCTTGATTTCGGATCCTTGTCGAGAAGCTTAATTATGAAATCAACAGCTTCTTTCGATGCGTTCTGAGGGAAATCGACTTCATCTCTGCATATTGCTCGGTACATTGCGTTTATATTGAGATTGTAGAATGGAGGAACGCCGAATAACATCTCATAAGCAAGAGTACCAAGGGACCACCAATCAACGCTGTTGTCATAAGGTTGATTCATGATAATTTCTGGAGCAACGTATTCCGGAGTGCCACAAAACGTTTCTGTCTTATCTTCTTTGGCCATATGCTCTTTAACTAAGCCAAAATCGGTTAATTTAATATAACCATCTTTGTCAAACAAGATATTTTCTGGTTTGAGGTCTCTATAGCATATACCCATCGAATGGAGATATCCTATAGCCATGGCTAGCATCGCACAGTAGTATTTAACCCTTTCTTCGCAAAATTTTTGTTCTTCTTTGAGTCTTGAGTACAATTCTCCACCTTGGGCGTAATCTAACACTAAGAAGATCTTAGTATCGTTTTGAAATGCATATCTTGCCGAAATTAAAAACGGATGATTAATTTTAAGAACAACGTTTCTTTCAGTAATAATCCGTGAAATGAGTTCGTATTCTCCAAGTAATTTCTTTGAGATTGACTTCATTGCATAGATATCATTTGTGTTCCGAAGTTTGACCAATTGAACTTTTCCATATGATCCTTTTCCGATCACTTTTAGTATTTCGAAGTCATCTGCTGTAATATCATTAATATTTTTGCCTGATAGGACTTTATTAATGATAGAAACCCAATTTTTCATTTCATCTGGAGAATTGCAATGGATTTGATATGTTCGGACTCCAGGAATAACAACCTTGAATGCATTTGGATAAACACAATCTGGCATTGGACTGACTTCTTTAACCTTGGACAAATCAATTTTGCCTTTGATGCGAGAATTCTTTGATTTAGAATAAGTTAGAGAAGATTTTGTGAGAGTAAACCATCTTACTCTCCAAGTCTTAAATATGCCACCTAATTTTGTTCCCCAACCCTCGTGGAGGATTTTAGCTTCAGACATTTTGTTTCAATTTCTTGAAAATCTCAATTCAAAAATATTAAATATTTGAGAGTAAATCATAAATCATAAAATAAAACAAAAGGTCTATTTAACGGAAACGATGAGATATTCATCAACTATGATTTCGTTTGATATCAATTTGGAAAATTGAATTAATTAATGTTTTTGAATGATCTGAAATCAAATTATAGGGGAAAATAGTATAATGGATATAATAAAAGTAATCAACCTCTTAATAGTGTAACATAAATTTGAAAGGTCTGTATCTTATGAAAAAAAATTACGAATTTTGCCGTCATACATGCCTATTAAGAAAATATCTTGATCGGTTTGTTTCAAATATTTTTATTATCGGTTTATGTTTTTATAAGATCTAAATCATTTATTATTTGATTCCAACAACAGTATAGATTATAAATAGTTTTAGAATTCAAAGTTGACGTTGATAGGCTTCAAAAATTTTGGCAAAATTTTTCAAAATCGCTGAAGATAATTTAATAATAAATTATAATATAATATATCTCGATACAAATATTTTTTGGTCAAATTTTCAATTCGGTTTCTTGCAAATATCCTCATAAATTATTCTTCGGAAATAGATCACATTCATCAACATCGAACTTTTGATGATCCAACTTTAATTGTGAATAATTGCATTTTCAAAATTCTTATTTTAGTTGTTATAAGCTTCATATTATTTATCAATCATAAAATCAGATTATGTATCCATCGATTTATAACAATTCTCCGAAAATGATTTTAATAAATATTTCATTTAATAATTCTTCTAAATTTGGCACCAAAACAAGATGTATCAAAACAATTTCAGGCATTAACATTTCCAATGTTCGTCTTTTACTCTTGCAGAGAAGAATTTCTATATTCTATTCTATTTTTCATCAATTAAAGCCTTGAAAACTCATTGTAAAACAGATAAAAAGCTCACATTCATATAAAATCCTTGAAGTAGCATAAAAATCAAATAATAAATGTAAATAAGATAGAGTGTAATCAAATGGTTGGATGACCAAGACAATTACTATATTTCAACCAAATATGTGAGTGAGAAATATGAATAGTATTAAAATGAAATTTCTTCGGTATTAAGAAAGAACATTCTAATCAAATGTTTAGTTAATACAAGCTATTACTCCATTTTTAGTAACAAATTCTTATTGCTTTATATTATTGAAAATAATATTTGTAAATAAAGAAACAGTTTAATTGTAAATAGTAAAATTGATTGTAAACTAACAATATTTTCGATCTTTTTAATAGATTTTGGCTTGCTCAGAAATAAGCGTCTTCTATGCCTAACAATTTTGAAACTTTGATTTTATTCATCCATAGTATTACAATGACGAACATTATAAGAACTATGAGAAGAAGAATGATGTGGACCGGACTGTTAATGAACTGTGGCTTGCCTAAGAACATTTTTTTTAAAAAAATAAAAAAGTGACAATGCTGAAAAGAAAAGGTTTTCTTCATAATAGAGGGAATGTTGTACATATTGCTATATTCATTTCAGCAGTTTCGCTTATAACAGTCATTTTCTGCCAGTTTTTTATAAAAGTTGGCGATATTCACGACAATTTCAGCGATGAATGCCTAATTAAAGATGGAAAATGCTATTTTACAATCAACCAGCCGCAAAACTCATTAAAATTTTTCATTCCTGTTATGGCTGCTAATGCAACAGGCTTATTACGACCTTTTTGCAACGTTACAAACAAAATGCAGTGCGCCTTACCTTTATTCTTCAATGGATCGCAAGTAATATACATAAAGCGTGGATCCCGCATAATAAGAACGCTCCACGCAAAATATGATCATGGTCAATTTGAATGCTGGGGAGAAGATCGCTGGGATCGAAGATTATGTAGATTTGCTAACTTGTCATTCGCAGAGGATAAGTTTTTCATCTTTCCGCCCTATGAAATTCAATGGGCTTCACCTGTAATGCTAGCGAACTGCCGCAGCTTCCCAATTGCACCATGGGATGGTTCTATATACTTAAATAACTACAAAGGACCGCCATACTCAAACCTAACATATAGATCTGGAAAATATCTTTTTAATCATCCAGGATTTCTCACTCATTCATTGTGGCATGGCATGGTTGAACAGACAATACCACTATTTCAGACCTGGTACACTTACATGCAGCATGATCGCAGCACAACTTGGTTAATTAAGCATGGATGGATGGATAGAGTACGTACTGACGATGTAGCCATGTTCATGGATAACGAGGCTGAATATCTCCAAGAATGGGCCACTTACGAAGAAGTATTTATGGGAATGACGAAAGTTCTTGACATGAACTGGCATATTCCGAAAGAAAGAGCCAAAAGACCAATAACGCAAATGCTTGAATGGTTTAATTTTGAAAATATTACAGATTGGAAAATTCTCAAACAAATATTTTGGGAAAGATACAAACCACCGACATTTCCGCAGAACAAATCATTAGTATTATTTATTAAACGAGCGCAGAAGCGTAAAATCGTTAATCAGGAAGAAGCCTACGAAAGATTAGTCAAAGAATTCCCCCAAGTTAATATTACTATGCTTGAGCCTGAATATATGAGTTACAGTGACCAAATGGGTATCTACGAAGCAGCCGATTTGGTGATCGCTGCCCATGGAATGGCCCTTTGCCAAGTTCTTTGGATGAAGCCAGGAAAAAGTGCCATTGAAATTTTTCCATATGGAATCGAAGCAAGGGATTGGTATGGGTACTTGGCAAAACTCAATGGTATACATCACCAATACTATGCACCAACATTCAACCGTTTTGAAGAAGAAAATAAGAAAGATCCGAAATTATGGGATTGTATTTCTCATGAACCATTGAAATACGACTGTCTGGATAAGACACTGTTTACTGATGCATGGGTTGATATAGATCAACTTGTTGTGATGACAAGAAAAGCTTTAATTGATGCAGGAGTCAAATTATAATAATATTTTTTTTATTCATGTTTATTTTATATATTTGTTATTTTTATATAAACGTTCATTATAGATTATCTCATTTCAAATGATTCTTTAACATAATAACTAATAAAAGTATATTATGAAGGAGATACTCCTCTTCATTTAGCAGTATAAATATAGATGATGTCATTGTTAGAATTGATGAAAAAGAAAAGATTAATGGATATTCTATAGATTCTTTTGGGAATTTAAATATAGTCCTCCCAATGATATTAATTAGGAGTTACGAAAGGAATCAAGGAATAATAGAAGAAAATTCATACCAGAAAAAAAGAATTTTAAAATCAACTTTAAATAATTGAATAATTTAATATGAATTCATTTAATTTGGAAGTAAATTGTCGTAAAATTCGTCAGAAACTGGTTCAAGCCATCCAATTGTGGCGTGTGGTGTAATCGGTTTAATGGAAATGTATGAAAACCACGTTTCCTTAATAGAACCTTCCTAATGTTTAATATTTTGAGAGATTTCAACAACATCACCTGAGCGCAAGAATCGTGGTTTTTTGCCTTCTTCTTCTCCAACAACAGATAAGCAAATTGAGAGTTCATTACAGATTCCTGATTTAACAACTGACCAACATAATGTAGCACCACCAAGCACTCCAAGAACTTTAATACCGAATACATTCTTCAACTTACGAACAGCTGGAACAAGATCTACATGATCTTTTCCGGCAATGATGTAAGATATGTTGAGTCTTCTAAAATAGTTCTTGTATTGTGGAGAAGCTTTCTCTGATAGCACCTCAATTATATTTGCTGTTGGACTTAGAGGCTTGTTGGCATATCCTTGCTTCCATCCGACTTTTACAGTTGAATCAAGTACAACTAAAAATGGAGATTTAATATCTTTTGCAATAAAATTTCCTTCTGGAACATCTGTTCTTTCCGAATTGATATCAGGATTTTGATAACCCATTTCCAATGCTGTATTACTTCCACAAATAGCTGCATCTGCCTTATATAATGCAATTGTCCAAACGAAATCATTCAAAGATGCTGTTGCATTTCCAGTTTCCATGAATTTGCCGACAGTCACCCATATGAATGTAGATGAAAAGTCTTTCTTCAGACATTTTCAAAGTATGAACTAAAAAATTTTAGTATCGAAAAATTTGGATGTGAATTCACATGAGGTCTTTTAGGTTTCAACAATTTTTATGGGAAATAACATATGAGATTCATTGAGCGTTGTATCCAGAAAGGCTATTTTTCAAATTTCATATTTTGACAAGTGCGATAAATTTATTTCAAATTTGAGACGAGATAATTCAATGAAACCGATTTACCTACTGTTTTCAATTTATTTGTTTTCGCTACATACAGGGGCTCTGAAAACCTGATAGTAAGACTCAAACCCGATAGTAGAACCAAAATTGAGAGAGCTTATGATTCACATATGAATAAATTATCTAGTACACGTATGCTTAACGTCATATAAAATTGAGAGAGCGTACAATCGAGTTTGTTCCAAAATAACGGGTTTGAAGACCCACTGTATTAATATCATCTTACATTCAATAATGTGATGGAACAATGAGATCCCTATTCCAAATACATTGATTTTTTTATGCAATTCAGAAAAATTATCCCGAAAGTTTCGTTTGTCCAGTCTCATTTACTGATATAATTTATTCACATGTGAATCACAAGCTCAATTTTGACTAGATTTCGATTCAACTATTGAATATTTTGAGATAAATGTATAGATTCAACTTGAATTCACTTAGATTTTATATAAAAACTTCATCAAACTATACAAATAACCATTTGTTTAATCAAAAAACGTTAAAAATTGTATAGTTTTCTCGATGTATCAAAGATTGTTTCACAAAAACATCTCATAAATTTTATTAACGCAACCATTATTAAAGTAACGGGAAATAACACCAGATTAGAAAGTAACAACGTGATTCAGTAAAAAATCGCAATGAAATTCGTACAAATATTCTGTCAATTTTTGTACGTTATTTTGTGTTCTTCCCTGTATGAGTATCTATTTTACAGCCAATCCACAATATTACAAATTTATTCGACTTTTAGAAAATGAGGGTGAAGAATATAGACAATTGCATCACAGATTTCAAGTTCTTGCCCAACAAACAAAAGATGAATTTAGACAAACACGAAACATGATAAATGCATCAATGAACACAATCAAACCTCCTGTAAGAGGTATTAGGACTGCCGATATTCCAAGTGTTCTCAAAAGAAAACCTGAGAAAAGAGCTGCAACACAAACGGTACCTCTTCATCCAAAAATAGTTTTTGGGACTATCACAAACACTAAGTTGCCAACTCCTGTTTATCACGATGCAATTCCAGCCCAAACAAACGGAGCTCAGAGAATTCTAAATCCAAAGCGCTTATTGAAGTATAAAGAAAACAATAGAGAACCTCCGCTTTTGATAGGAAAAGGCGTTAATTCTGTAAGTCAAGACAATCCAAACATGGCTTCGACTTCATTAAGCTCATATAACTTTGATATAGTTGATTGAATAGAAAAATTATATGTTTTTGATAAGTATATAAGAAATGTGTACTAACTAACGCATTTATTTTATTTTAGAGAGGTAATATAGAAATAATTTTCCCTGACATTCACAAATCTCATTGCTTCAGCAGAATTAACTACCGTTTATTATTATCAACTCCATAATTAATAATCTCAAAAAAAAGTATTTTTTTTTGCCGATTATTGCATTATGTTTATTTCAGTGATGAAGTATAATATTTTATCAATGGAAAAAGGAATCAATTGCATCCAGTGTATTTTCCATATGGAAATTCAAATAATATTGATTTGAGTCGGAAAAATAAACGGAAATTAAGCAGCTAACTCATTATTTTGATTTAAGAATCAATACTGCTAATTAAAAATTAATTACTAACAATATTTATCTTTTCAATTAGAAACTCTAAACTTTGAGTGATAACACTAATCAAACTCGCCGAAGTCAATTTGAACATAGAAATAAAAAACCAAAATCTCAGGCTTTCAACATTTTTTGGCTATTTCATTCTGGAATTTAGCAAAAACAGTAGAAACTTTAACAGATCGATTCAGAGCATTATTACGTTAAATGATTTAACCGGTGAAACCTAGCTTCTATATCAAAATAACTATTATTGAGTATAATTTTTTATTAATTATTTAATGCCACTGAATTTCTAATCATTGATAAGGCATAGTAAATCATTAAAAAAAAATGAACAAATTAGATAAAACATATTTTATTATTGCGGTTTCTTTGGAGTTGTACAAAGTTAACATTACCAATGATATGAATATTATTGTTCCTTTTAAATGGTACCAAAGATCTGTATGCAAGGCCGTTGAACTTTACAAATTACAAGTTTATCAGAAAAATGAAATGAAATGCCAAATTTCATATTAAGGAATATAACAAAGCATAGTAATATAACATTGTTTCATAATAAAATAAAAACAATACCTATTTATTACATTGAATTTTAAAACTCTATTTTGATAAAATACTTGATTAAAAATACACCAATTCAGACATCCCAAATAAAAAAACATATGAAAAAATTCAATATACTATCAATTTTTTGCAATTTTGAATGCTTTACAAAACATTTCCTGGGAAAAAATTCGTTGTTTTTGAAACACACTAAAAATCTTTTATTGAAAACTTTTTTACACTAATTCAATTTTTGATAAAATTTATCAGAAATTTGATTTTCATTTTTTATGATTTCGTTACTTTTCGTTTTCTCATTATCATCTATAGAAGGACCAATTCCTGGATGCGAAGAAACTTTTCAAGGACTTGAAGAAGGGGGATATTCTATAACCAGAACAATCGAACCAGGCCAGTTCTTATGTTTCATGGGATCTGTTTTAATAAAAGCCGATAAAAATTTTGTAGCTACTTATGCATTTAAGTCTAATTCTGATGGCACAACTTCAGAGATAAAGACAGCAGAAAATCCGTTTCTTATTGGCTCACTTACTTCTAAAGCATTTATTAAATTTGCAGCCAAAGATTCGAGTGAAAAGTTGGTAATATCACTAACTTGTGTTAAACCATCTGACCAAACAAATACGCAGTTCTTTGGAGGAGTTTTTACTACAATGAAATCTTTCAAAAAGTCAATTTCGATTTCTTACCAACGAATTCTAGCAATAGTAGCAATTAATGAAATACCATTAAGTATAACAGCGCCAGTAAGTCAAAGTCTTACCAAAACATTAACGGTTAATGGTCATTCGACTACAACAGAAAAAAGTGGTAACGCGATTTATTTGAGTTTAACTCCCAACTATAAAGACCAATCTTTTTATAGCAAATCAGAAAAAGTAACTATTGAATGTTCCCCAGATCCTAATGCCGAAAAAGATGAACAATACGTTAATCATTTCGGTGAAGATATTTTCTATATTCTCCCACCAGAAGGTGCCCACAGCCGTGATCAAGTTGTTCAATATACACAAACTCATATGAATATCTTTGATGGTGAAGGAACAACTCCAGGTGGCAATCCAACTCCTGGTGGCAATCCAACACCAAGTTGCAAAGAAACATATGGAGATACAGAATATCCGATAAGCAAAATCCTTGATATTAAAGCAGGTGAAACATATTGCACAAATTCTGAATATGTTTATGCATCAAAAGATGATTTCAAAGTCACTGTTCATAACTATACCGCTAAAGATGCTACAGAAAAAATTTATGATAACCCATTTAGTATTGTTGGTGGTAAATTCCTTAATGAAATCAAATGCGCTGACTCTACAAAAGAATGCAAAGTTCATATAGTTACTATTTACCCTCCAGCGATTGAATCAGGAGTTACCTGTTATTCTATTTTCACAACAAAGAATAACCTTGAATTCAAGATGAATATGACACATACCAACGACAAAATTGAATATTTCGTTATGACATCGCACAGCATCCAAGAGAAAGAGATTGAGATTAAGCTCGATAAAGAAGGAGCAAAATATGGTCTTGGAAATTCTGATGAAAAACAAGAATATGAAAAACACCGCGGAAAAACAATTGTAGCAGTCCCGGCAAGTGAAAATATTACATTGGATGGTACTGCAATTGTGTCAGTAACAATAAAGGAAGTTAAGGGTTCATCAGAAGATGTTTCAGAATCATTGTTCGATAAAGACTTATTTTACGAAATTCCAGAAGGTGTAAAAACTGAGAAAGAAGTAAAAGAACATTCTGGAAATAGTAATATCGGTGCAATTAAGGATGATAACAGCGGAGGTCTTAGCGGTGGAGCAATTGCTGGCATTGTAATTGCAATTGTCCTTGTCATTGTAATTGTCTGTGTTCTTGTTTGGTTCTTTGTCTTCAGGAAGAAATCTGATCAGAAAGAATCAAGTTCATCAAGTAATTAAATAAACTTTTTTCCTTTTAACGCATTTAATTTAATTAAAGTTAAATATTTTTCATTTAATTTATTGTATATCCAAATTTTGCAAAAATAATCATAAATATTTCGGATCATATTTTTTATAAAAACAATCTTAAGATATTTCATATGAAATGTCTTTTATAAACAATCGCAAACATCATTGAAAATGAATTTTCAACGACACATAAGACCAAGTGCAATTTTTATTCAAAATAATCATTATTCAATGTGCCAATGTACCGAATTTTTCTAGTTATTGTGACAATAGATATTCAATTTCAAAATTCTAAATTTTATAATATAAATCTGTTGATATATTTTCCAATTATTTTGTCCCAGTGAGTAATGTTATTATGCAAAATTACGGAAATACTTTCCCAGTGGTTTTTCAGGGGGGATTAATCAACTTTCACACTCAATTTTCTGAAGTTTACAAATTCGCAAAGAAACGTAAGCTCAAAATAGAGTTGAATAAAATCCTAATTTTCGAAAATTGAAACGAAAAGTTTCAATTTTCGAAAATTAATAATTTTAAATCGGATTTGAAATCTACAATAATGTTTAACCCGTAGTTTATGTTGTAATCATCTATGAGTCGAATTTTGATATGTGACATGAAAAATATGACGATTTCAAGATTGATTATAATACGGAAAGATAATTATAATACTTTCTTTTCATGAACGTTGATGATAGTTTTATATTGGCAGTTTATCAGAAATTTGAGTTGGTAGATTTTTCTTGTTACGGTAAAAAGTTATGTATGATATCTATATAATATTATTTGTCTATATTTGTTTAAATCTCAATTGAAAGATCTCTCAAATTGTTTATCGACGACGGTTTCATTTTATTATTATGCTTTCTTTGCTTATCTTTTTCTCGATTTCTGAAAGCAATCCTATTAGTGGCTGTGAAAATATTGCATCTGAAGAAATTAAGGCAGGATTCACATTAGTTAAAACTATTGAATCAAACGGAATATTATGTTTCAAAGGATCAGCTTTATTAAAGGCAGACAAAAACTTCGTTGCAACGTATGCTTTTGTGTCCGAAAATAGTGCCTCAACTTCTACAATGACTAAAGAAAATCCGTTTCTTATTGGTTCAGGTGATAAAACAACTTATATTAAGATTGCTCCAAAAGATCCTAACGAGAAATTACAAATATCTCTTACTGGCGCTCGTTTATCTTCAAATAGTGCATCGCTTTTCAAAGTTGGAGTTTTTTCTACTCTGAAATATTTCCAAAAGTCAATTTCTATTTCAAATACTCAGAATTTGCATTTGGTTGCAATCAATGAAGTTCCTTTTAGATTTACTTGATCACATGGAAGTCCATATTATGAATCTTATCCAAATGGTGCAGTTTTTCCACCTTTCAGTTCAACCTACAATATATTCGAAACGCATGTTTATCTAAAGAGAGATGGACTGGCAGAAAAAGCTATAATTAGAATCGACGAAGAGCCAGAAGCCGAAAAATTGGCAGGTTTTGTAAATCCATTTTCAGAAGAATTTTTCTATATTCTTCCAACAGAGGGTGCTTATACTCGTGATGAAGTCATTGCCTATTCAAACCAGAAAATTAATCTATTTGAAGATAGCTCAGCAGCTGGAGCTATATCATGTAGAGAAGTAATTGGTAAAGAAACTGATAAAGAATTTGAAAATCCAATTAGCAGAATTTTCACAATTGAAGCAGGAAAATCTTTTTGTACAAAATCATCATTCGTTTATGCATCTAAAGAGAATTTCAAAGTCACTGTTCATAACTTCTCAGATGGATCGGCATCAATAAAAACATATGATAACCCATTTAGCATCGTCGGTGATTATTTGTTGAATGAAATCAAATGTGCTGACTCATCAAAATCATGCAAAGTTCACATTGTTACTGTTGATCAACCATTTATTGATGAATATGTCAATGCACCTACATATTTCACAACAAAGAACAACTTTGAATTCCAAAAGAAAATTGTTTTAACTGAAGCTATGATGATTTATTTCAAATTGACATCACATAGTAGTAAAAATAAGGAAGTTGAATTTAAGATGGAAAATTACTATGCATATTTCACCCTCAAAAATTCTGACAATCAAAACCGAGATCATAAATTAAGCGGGAAAACAATTGTGGCAATTGTAGAACGCGAAAAAAATGATGATATGAACGATATTGCAAATGTTTCAATAAAGGAAGTCAAATCTCCATCAGAAGAGGCATCAGAATCTTTGTTTGGAGAAGACATCTTTTACGAAATTCCACTTGGTGTTAGAACAGAAAAAGAACTTCAGGGAAAAACGCAAGAAGAAAACCCAGAAGGAAAACCAGAAGAGAATAAAGAACAAGAAGAGGATAAGAAAGAAGAAAAAGGAGGCCTAGGCACTGGAGCAATTGTTGGAATAGTAGTTGGAGTTGTCGCTGCTATTGTTATTGTCATTGTTCTCGTTTGGTTCTTTGTCTTAAGAAAGAAATCAGATAATAATGAATCTAGTTCAACCAGTAATTAAAAACTAAATAATCATTTGGCTATTTAAAATATTTTTTAATATTTATAAATACAATATATTGAAAGGATTAGATTGAAAACTAATCTATTTCCGATATCATATTCCTTCAAATTTAAGATAATACTAACTAGCTGTATTCAAACAATGATTAACTTTAAAAATTGTGTTATTGTGATTAGATCTATTTGCTGATATGAATAACCCATGCCTCATTAAATTATCAAGTTAAAATATTCCAAAAAATCAAATAAGTTATTGTACTTCAAACATCAATAATTGACATTGGCAATATCATAATATACTAGAGATGTTCAATTATATATGAGATATGTACTCCTATCTATTGAATCACTTAATCATTAGATTCAAAAATCTTACATATTGTCTCATTCATATAAAAAATCGAGATTTATAAAATATGCATAATATGGAATAAGGATCGATCAGAATTTCAAACTGACCTATTTTTGAATCAAAAAATTTAATGTTTTTGTCACTTTTCAAGAATTATGGGAGAGAGGGAAATTGAGGATATTAATTCAATTTCCATGAGGAGGCAGAAGGAAATTAAATCTGATTTAGAGCGTAGTCAACCTTCTCCAGAAGTTTCTCCTTCAGAACCATGTTTGAAAGATATTTTCTCAGATGAACCAGAAATTATTCACAGAGGCATACTAGGACTATCATATCAAGTCAAAACAAACACACTTGTACCTTCTTCTCTTGGTCATCCTGTATTCAAAAGGCTAAAAGAAATAATTGAGACGAATAACGATTCAATTCTCCTATTTCAAGTTTATGCACTTATTTCCGAAATGACAAAGAACAAAATTTACGTTCACATGTTTTACAAAGCCTTTCTTTATGAGCCTGTAATTGAAAATCTAAATAAGAACCCGTTTCTTGTTCCTTTACAACTATCTCTATCAATATTATCATCCATGTATATGTGGATCAAGTTTTCAGCCAAAAATCTTAGGGAAAAATTCCATTATTTTGATCTTTTAATTTGGTTAGCGAATCATGAGCAAATTTCATCCCAAGACCTCGAATTTATTATCGAAGACATTCTAGTCGCTTCAGCCCGCTTTACTATTGACTCAGAAGGCTTAAATATTGATGATATTCAACCATATTTCGATATCTTCAATAATTTGTCGAACAATGAAAGGGCATTTGTTTTTGCTAACATAGCCGCCCTTGATTTGTTCAACAAACTTAAGGAACCATCAGAAATTGACATTACAATTTTTTCTGACCGTATTATCCCAATAATGAACGACCTTGATGAGGACAAACTCGAAATACTTGCTATTACGATGCTCGCCATCTCATCAACTAGCGATGATCAGTGCATTCACCTTGTTCAACAGCATTTCTTCGAATCAGCAACGATGACGATCAGAAAACCCGTCAAAAACAGTACCCTTTGTAAGATCATGGTCGCTGTACAGAACGTTGCCACTGTAAAAATGCTCGCAGAACTTTTTATTCAATCTCCACTTTCGGAAGCGATCAAAGGCATCATAGAAGAGTCGAACATTGATGTAAGGAAGGAAATAATATATCTCTACGCATTACTTTGCGCTACTCATCAAATGGATTCATATGTTCGTGATATTCCGAATATTTTGACGATAACTTTTGATTTAATCGAGACATTTGATGAAAACCTGTCTGAAGAACAACAGAAATATATTTATTCCGCTCTTTATTGCGCTGATGTCGTAATTAAGTACAAAATCGCTTCAAATGATGATGATTTTGAGGGTGTCGACTTCTCTATCTTAGATGAAATAGGAACGAATGCAAGCGAACAGATTTCTGTGCTTGCAAACCAAATTCTCAAAATTATTCCAAAATAATACATATTGTTATAAATAGATTGAAATATTATTGTTAAAATTAAACATTTATTACCATTTTGATAACTTTCTCTTTCAAAAAACTGAAATTGAAAACAAAATTTTTCTAAAAATCAAAAACTACTTCTTAATACTGATATTTTATGTCATTATATTGTTTCAATCAAATGAAAATATAAATACTTTGTATCAAATCCAAAATTTTCTACAAATCAAAGATAATGATACAATTTTCATTGTTGTATTAATGTAAAAAGATAAACAAAGCATCTTATATGGTGGAATATTAGAACAGAATACCTCAAAAGAGTGAAAATAATGGGATCACATTAAATGAAGCTTTGCTAGGCAAAATAAGTGTAGTAAAGCATTGTGTTGAATTAGTTATAATAATGCAAATAGATAAGAAGGCGAGAAACGGAAATAAAAAAGAAAAATATTTTTTGCTGTCGAAAAAAATTAACTTTCGATATCAAAAATGGCTGGAAACACGAAAATAAAGCGTATTTTGTTGTTATTTCTCATTGATTTTGAAATCGTCAAAAAATAATTCGGAATAAAATTCAAAAATAACAAATATTTTTACATATATATAATGAAACGACAACATGTATATCCAAATTAATATTCAATCTAAGCTAATTTTTCCGGAAATCGAAATTCTTGTATATTTTGATGAAGAAAGGTTAATTTGACTTGTCTTCAAGTTGGGTGATGTTAATCTTATCTGTGGCTTTTTAATCAAGTCCTTCTTCGATAAAGGCAAGTGGTGTAATTGACCCATTTGTTTTAGCGGGATATTTGTAGGTATCATTTTCTGTATTTGGTCGATAGTTGGTCTTTTTGTTGGATCCAGCTGAAGCATCGATCGAACTAAGGTTTTAACCTCTTCGCTAACGAAACTAGGGAAAGAGTACTCGCAACTCAAAATACTGTGAATAAGGAGCTTCTCTGTACCCGTAAATGGCAAATTCCCTGTTGCTAAAACGTAAGCAACAACACCAAGCGACCAAATATCTGCTGCCTTAGCATCGTATGATTCGCCACGTAAAATTTCGGGAGCTATATATTCTAATGTACCACAGAACGTGGTTCTGAGGGAATCGATTGAGTGACTTTCTTTAATCGAAGACATTCCGAAATCTATCAGTTTGATTTTATTATCAAACGTGATTCCGATATTATCTAGCTTTATATCTCTATGTGCAATACCTCGCTCGTGAAGATAACTGATTGCTGAAACAATTTGTCCCAACATATTGAAAAAGTGGGATTCTGATATATTGGAGCCATGGTAAATTCGTTCGTTAAGAAAACGCTCAATAAATTCCATAACAACTATGATGAGATCATCTGTGTAAATGATTTCTTCGAAATTAACAATGTTCTCGTGCTTGATTCTTTCCATAATACGAAGCTCTTTTTCGAGTATTTGCAATTGGAATGAGTCTTGAAGTAAATTTCTGAAGAAAATTTTAGCTGCAAAATATTGCTTCTTTTTTTCTGAATAAACTAACGCGACTAAGGAAGATTGGTGACGCTGTATGATGTTTTTCAACTGATAATCCCCAAAACTCTTAGGTATTTGGGCGGAACTGTAGCTCATTATGTTTTGAAAAAAATAATCGTAATAAAGGAAATAATTTTTGGAAAGTATTCTGTTTGATGAAAGTCATTGATTGTTCATCAATTTTCTAACTTTTGACAGCTTTTTTGATTTTCGAACCGTAAAATTACATAGAAAAAATTGTGAATGTTACTAAAGAATGCTTTCAAAACTTTCTCGAGTATTTGGATTGACATATGATATCATTTCAAATCTTAATTTTAATACTTTTGAATGGAAATTTAGGATTGATTATAATCTGCTTGTAGTTCTATAAAGAATGAGTTTCTAAATATCTAAATTTTCTGCGAGTTAGCCCTTCAAGTATTCAAAATCTGCTAGTTATTTTTATGTGATCCTTAATATCAACATAAATAAGGATGTCAATTCGGAAAATTGTTTTCATTTTAGGAGAATATAATTTTCCTTTTCGAAAATTTAAAAAGTGAGACGCGTAGGATTCGAACTTTTTTAAAAGTTGATTTAAATATATTCTAGTGTGAATTCTAAGGATAATATCATATTTAAAATAAGAATATACTAGTTTAGGTTAAGGGTTTCGTTTTGCGAAAAAAACGTACAATACGCAATTTCGCCAAAAAAACATTTAGCTAGCAATTTCGACCCTTGACTCCACTGAGGACGTCATTTTTTTGATATTGCGATGTGATATTTTTGGAAAATCTTTATGAATATCGTATATAGAGTCTCTTTAATATCTATATTTCATATTTTTATTGATTTTTAAAGTTTTTGCTAAAAGTATTCAATTATTTTTTGCTATTTGGCCGGGTAAATGGCAGATTTGCGACATTTTCTGATATGATATTCATATTCTACTCTGATAATAATGCTTATAGAACCCTCTTGCTATTGTGTCAAAATTGCGAAACCGATAGCAAAAATATCTCGCAATATCAAAAATGAGACATTTGGTGAATTATGCATTATACAGATTGAAAATATGATTTTTGAAAACATATCATCATTTTATAGCTAAATCGAAAGTAATTAATATCATATTAGATTAAAATGAAAAAGGAATAGTATCGTTATGCTTTAAGTGGCAGTTTTATAATATAATCATAATTTTAGCTCAATATACAACACCTTTTCGCAATATATGGTTAGCAACCTAAATTCTGATTGTTTTGAATTCATATATCTTACGTTTTCTATAATTACATCGCTATTCATCACCATTTCTATCTTTATCATTATTGTTTGTATCTAATAATTTCTCAAAAAACATTAATACTTAATATTTGTAAATATCATACTTTATAACGTAAATAAGAACATTACCTATTATGAAAAACAATAATTAAAGAAAAATATGGTAAGCTTTTATAAATGTAATTTTTAATATCTTATATTCAGAACATATAACTAGTAAATAAAGTACTTATTTTATACATACAACGTAGGGCATAACACATCAAATGCTCAAATCTATTTTATTTTTATATAATATATCGGTTGAAAGTTACAAGCTCTCAATTTTCGTCCCTTTTGTACGTTTATTATAATTGTAGCATATTGTCATCAAGCACGCGACTAACCAGCAAAGACGTGTCCTCTAATTCCGTCCCTAGTTCAAGAATCTGGAACTATTTAAGCAAAAACATTCGATTTCAAAATCAAGCATTCTTTATTCAACGAGTAAAACATTAAAGTATGATTTGTCATACACGGAATAATGACAAGCTCTTAGAGTATGTTTAGTACAGAGTTACTGCCAACTTGAGTTCTTGAATTTGGTAAGTTAGAACAAAAGAAGCCATATGTCGCATCTAAGGACTTGTACTTATCAGAGTATTACTAAATGTTTAAGAATGTTAGTTATTCGTCCCAAACTCGTACGTTTCCACGCGAATCTTGATAATAAATATACTATTTTGGACCTTTTGCAATAAATCTCTTTTTACCACATTAGCATATCTGTGTGTATGCTACTTAACCTCTTTAGAGACCATTAAGATAATGTTTTTTGATACTTTTTCAAGACTATGCCATAAAGTAAACGAATAATTTAGAAAATGATATTAAAAAATTTAATTTTATTATGCTTTTATAAATATTGAGACTTTTTAGGACTATTTTAAAAATGTAAATAGATCAATCATTTTAATATTAGATAAGATAATCTAAAGACGTCAGATGTTTCAATAACTTCAGATCAATGACTAATATGAAATTTAAGATTTGTGTTAATTTAAGAATTAACAATGGAATCTGGTTTAGAAAGATGGAAAGCATAGAGAATCTAAAGGATAAGAGAGATTAAATACAAAATGCTGCATAAAAAGGCAGATCAGTGAGAAGAAATCATGAGGTTAAAAAGGAACATTCAAATTAGAATATAACATTGCATATTACAATATTAATATTAAAGATAATACTGCACATCATTGTGCAATTACACTATTTTAAATATTTTCATAAATAATGACTTACAAGTTAAAAAAATGTAGAATTAACTGCATGATCCAATATTGGACCGAATGTATGTTTGAATCTATAACTGAATTCATTAATGACAAAAAAGTGACTCTATAACTGAGTATCTGGCTGACAATATGCCTGAAAGTTTGAATGTGTCTAGGAATATAACTGACAGTTTGAGTGACATTTTGAATGAGGGTTTGGTTGTCAGTATAACTCAAGGTTTGAGAGAGAATATGACTCACAGTTTGACTGACAATATGACTTAGAGTTTGAGTGACAGTATGAACAACAGTTTGGGTGATAGTATGAACTACAGTATGACTGAGAATATGACTGACGGTTTGACAGACACTTTGACTTACGGTTTTAGTTAGAATAAGACTGACAGTTTGAGTGACAATATAACTGACGGTTTGACTGACAATATGACTGTTGATTTGAGTGAGTGTATGATTGAGAGTTTGGGTGACAATATGACTCATAGTTTAAGAGAGTGTATGACTGATGGTTTTAGTGAGAATAAGACTGAGAGTTTGGGTGACAATATGACTGTTGATTTGAGTGAGTGTATGACTGACAATTTGAGTGACAATATGACTTCGGTTTGACAGACACTATGAATTAGCATTTTAGTTAGAATAAGACTGACAATTTGAGTGACAATATGACTGACGGTTTGACAGACACTATGAATTAGCTTTTTAGTTAGAATATGACTGACGGTTTGACAGCCTCTATGACTGATGGTTTTAGTGAGAATAAGACTGAGAGTTTGGGTGACAATATGATTGTTGATTTGAGTGAGTGTATGACTGACAATTTGAGTGACAATATGACTTCGGTTTGACAGACACTATGAATTAGCATTTTAGTTAGAATATGACTGACGGTTTGACAGCCTCTATGACTGATGGTTTTAGTGAGAATAAGACTGAGAGTTTGGGTGACAATATGATTGTTGATTTGAGTGAGTGTATGACTGACAATTTGAGTGACAATATGACTTCGGTTTGACAGACACTATGAATTAGCATTTTAGTTAGAATATGACTGACGGTTTGACAGCCTCTATGACTGATGGTTTTAGTGAGAATAAGACTGAGAGTTTGGGTGACAATATGATTGTTGATTTGAGTGAGTGTATGACTGACAATTTGAGTGACAATATGACTTCGGTTTGACAGACACTATGAATTAGCTTTTTAGTTAGAATAAGACTGACAATTTGAGTGACAATATGACTGACAGTTTGACACACACGATGACTTATGGTTTTAGTTAGAATAAGACTGACAGTTTGAGTGACAATATAACTGACGGTTTGACTGACAATATGACTGTTGATTTGAATGAGTGTATGATTGACAATTTGGGTGACAATATGACTCATAGTTTAAGAGAGTGTATGACTGATGGTTTTAGTGAGAATAAGACTGATAGTTTGACTGACAATATGACTGACGGTTTGACACACACTATGAATTAGCTTTTTAGTTAGAATATGACTGACGGTTTGACAGCCTCTATGACTTACGGTTTTATTTAGAATATAACTGAGAGTTTGGGTGACAATATGACTCATAGTTTAAGAGAGTGTATGACTGATGGTTTTAGTGAGAATAAGACTGAGAGTTTGGGTGACAATATGACTGTTGATTTGAGTGAGTGTATGACTGACAATTTGAGTGACAATATGACTTCGGTTTGACAGACACTATGAATTAGCATTTTAGTTAGAATAAGACTGACAATTTGAGTGACAATATGACTGACGGTTTGACACACACTATGAATTAGCTTTTTAGTTAGAATATGACTGACGGTTTGACAGCCTCTATGACTTACGGTTTTATTTAGAATATAACTGAGAGTTTGGGTGACAATATGAATTACGGTTTTAGTGAGAATAAGACTGATAGTTTGGATGACAATATGACTGACGGTTTGAGTGACAATATGAATTACGGTTTTAGTGAGAATATAACTGAGAGTTTGGATGACAATATGACTGACGGTTTGACAGCCTCTATGACTTACGGTTTTATTTAGAATATGATTGAGAGTTTGGGTGACAATATGACTGTTGATTTGAGTGAGTGTATGACTGACAATTTGAGTGACAATATGACTTCGGTTTGACAGACACTATGAATTAGCATTTTAGTTAGAATAAGACTGACAGTTTGAGTGACAATATGACTGACGGTTTGACAGCCTCTATGACTTAAGGTTTTATTTAGAATATGACTGAGAGTTTGGGTGACAATATGACTGTTGATTTGAGTGAGTGTATGACTGACAATTTGAGTGACAATATGACTTCGGTTTGACAGACACTATGAATTAGCATTTTAGTTAGAATAAGACTGACAGTTTGAGTGACAATATGACTGACGGTTTGACAGCCTCTATGACTTAAGGTTTTATTTAGAATATGACTGAGAGTTTGGGTGACAATATGACTGTTGATTTGAGTGAGTGTATGACTGACAATTTGAGTGACAATATGACTTCGGTTTGACAGACACTATGAATTAGCTTTTTAGTTAGAA